GAGAAGGCTGGATAGGCATCTGGTGGCTGGGGTCATCTGACCCCAGCACTCTTTCCTGCCTAGTCAGGGGGTCGGACTCAACGATCTGTTGAGGTCCCTTCTGACCCTAGCATCTATGAATCTTATAGCTATATCTATACACCTGCACTAGTTCAGGGGGCAGGGGTTACTATGCACTTTTTGGATGTACAGTAAAAACGCGGTCCCTGCCCTAAAGAGCTTGCAGTCTAAAACTGGGAGGTCACATTTTATTTGACATAACCAGGGATTAGGTAACTGCAAGCAGCTGATATTTCCAACATAATAGATTAGCTGAGACAATCTTTTTATATCTCCAAAAGAAAGGTGTTTTTATTAAAATAGAAAAAAGCATTTAAAATGTTATTTAATTTGCCTTTGATGTAAACATGACAAAAACAATTTAAAATACTACCAATTATCTATATTGAGTTATACCATGAAATAAATTTTATAGTTCATATAGAAACCTAAAAAAAGGACCGTTTGAAAACTTTGCCCCTATTTCCTTTGGGTATTAAGTATATCTTTGATAGTGGGTGCCACAACAACAGTATTTTTTTTTTGACAACAGGTCATTGGGACCCCCTTATAAATGCTTTGCTGTCAAAAGGTATCCAGGTAAAAGATATCACCTCTACGACAAGTCCTGATTGCTTCTTACTATCAAAAAGGCAGTCGGTAAAACTGGAAGTTATCTTTTCCTGGGAAAGATGAGGTGTCAGCAATGGTTAAAAGAAATTCTAGCCTGGAGAGATTTTTACCCATAATCTCACTTAGGTGATGCATACAGTAATGGCTTTTAAAGAGTCAGCAGAAATCTAGTACAGTTTTCTATGTGTTTTAACTTCACATCTAGGAAAGATGGTCCAGGAATTGCTGGAATTATGCCAAAATTGTATGCTGGTATGTCCAGAAGAGCCTAAATACCTAGTGAGTGGAGCAGACTCAAGAGACCTGGATTCTTTTCTCAACAAAAACAGGCTTGGTGGGTTAACTGGGGCAAGACACTTCCCTTCTATACCGTGATAACCCACTTCTTAAAATGGCAATATTATGTGAACCTGCTTTGTAAAGCACTTTGAGATCTAAAAGCCCAATATATAAAGATAGGTATTATGGACCTAGTGGGAGGTCTCCCTCAATGAAGTCGGCTTCCCGATTTCTGGCATCTCTTCTAACAGATTTTAGTATTGTGTTCTGTTTTGCCTATTGAGGGCATTACTGTGTGCCTGTTCTGTTCGCAGGATGAGACAAAAATCCTGGGTTTTTTGTTTTATTTTTTTTCTCATGTCATCCCATCTTTTAGCTCTCCATTGAAAATTTATGACTAGGATATTCTGCCTTTATGCTTGCCTATCATCACCCCTGTAGGGACAATTAATCCCTTGTTAGTGGAGAGTGAGGGCAGAAAAGGTCTCTTTTTCTCTTCTCTACCCCCTCCCTTTCTATCTGTGTCTTTCTTTGGGCATTGAAAATGTAGGTCAAATTGCATCACCAGAAAATGCAACAGTCAGAAAGGTGTTTGAAAAATGCTGACATCCTTAGCCTGGGGTACATGCCACTGTCCTTTGTTTATACTGAGACTAGTGATGTACCTGTATAAGAGCCAGCATCATCTTTAAGGTTAGTGGCATGCTACCTAAATTATGAGCCATATTTTAAGATGGTATTCATCTTTCTTCAGTATTGAACTGCAACAACTCTTAATAATGATATACACAGAGAGCTAATTTGAAATCTTAAATTTGTAGTAACCATAACTGTATAGTGTGAATAGCTCACTGCTTATTTTTTACATTGGAAGTACCATAATACATTTTGCTTAGTATCTAGTGACATACTCTGTGTTATCTTGATTAGCTACACTCATAAAATATGTACATGAGCATGTTTATTTTTTAAGTTTGTGCAAATTACTCATGTTGACATACACGTGGCTTTCTCCTTTCATTATTTTTAAATGCCAGGGTCAGGTGTGGGTTTTTCCCTGGTGTTTACATCAACAGGAAGAAAAATCTGTCTGACATGTTTTAGACCATCTTTAGTGATGTCTAATCTTTTATATACAAGGCTTCAAGAGTTGTCAATGCAATAACAAGTTGTGATCAGCATGAAAAATTCTGAGCATCAGATGTAAACCTTATTTTTTCACTTTGCTTCTTTTCATGTAGTCACAGCTGAAATTTTGAATAAAATGTATACATATATTTTTTTCAGTTGTCTTTGTCCTGGCTGGTTGTCAAATGGTGGCTTATATCATGCCATACGGTAGGGTATTTTGGAATATAAAGTAGATTTGGCAGTTTATAAAAAGAAGCTGCAACCAAATATTCATTCCCTATTTCCAAAACCATGCATTTTCCTAGCTTGTGTGCATGTGCATGTGTTTTTCTTTATGTGGCTGTATTTAAACAGCTGAAGTGTAATATGCAAAGACATCTTATTATAGCATTAACCTTATTGCTGACTATTAAAAAAGATCTCAAAGTTAAAAGGAAAATTACTGCAGATGCAGCTGAAACTACTGACAATAGTATATGATTGACTGGGCAACAATAATAAATTTGGACATAAATGTGGTGCAATTATGCAGGGAGAAACAGCAGACATAGGAGTTACAATACTTTACTTGCATTGTAGTGCTTAAAGAGCTTGCTACAGGATTTGCATATTAATTTTTAGATAGTTATAAAAAATATTGATAACTGTCTGTTGACAGTCATAAATTAGTAGTTACATCCTGAGCCTTGTCATTATCAAGGAAGTTATACGCATCTCTGGAATTGTTTAGGATCAGCTTGTGGGGTATTTAGTAGGTAAATCTTGTACTTTTGCATTGAGAATCCCATTTTGTTTGGTTTGTATCAATACATTAATATATGTATCAATATTAGTGTATCAATATCCTAGTAGTTAGGGGGAGTAAGTTAGCTTTTTTTATGAATAAGAATAGTGCAGAAATATGAAGATACATCTTCCGCTGCCTACCACAGTGGTTCTCAACCTTTTCAGACTCTTAGCACTCCTCCTTAACTCTTGTGAATTGAGCAACACCCCCTTTCAAAAACTAACTTACTTATTACAGTGCTTACCTCTTTGTGTAGGGGCCAGGCAGTGGAGGTGAGGGAATGGCCAGGCAGGGACTGAGCCTGAACCTCCTTATCTGCTCATCTCCTTGCACCTTGTGTCACCCTTCAAAAGATCTCATGGCACCCCAGGGTGCCCTGGGGCCGTACTTGAGAATCACTGGTCTACCAGTTAAGATTTCTGTTTAAAACATTTAGTCTTTACCTTTTGATGTTGTTAAAATATAAGCAGTTGCATCTCACAGAAGATTTTTAAATTATAAACTTGATAGTGCCTTTTTTCTTAGTCCATCTTTGTGCTGCTGGGCTTCTCAAGTTGTCAGGTGCTGGTTCAGCTCCAGTGTAAAGTTGGATGGCCCCAAAACTGCTCTTGTACGGCAGTAGGTCCTGCAAAACCATCCAGCAGCCCCCTTCAGGTATAGGTGGAATTGGTCCCCCTCTAACAGCCCCCCTGAAGTCCTCATTAGGCTTCTCCTATAATAGTGAGTGGCTAAAAACACAACTGCGATGGGGTAGTTGTACTTTATGTATATTCAAAGTCTAATTCATGTATGTCTTGGTAAACATGTGCCCTAAAGTAGTATGAGTTTGGATACTTGCTGACTAAGGCATCATGTTCCAGAACCGTATTCTGTGATGCACATTTTTGATTCTTGAAACACCAAAAAGAAAAAAGATTAGAGTATGGTGCCTTGGTGAACTCAGACGTAACATAGTTTGCCCACCAGGAATTTGAATTTCCATGCTCTCAAATGTTAGTTTCTTGTAACCCTAACTTTACAGTTCCTTAGTTTGCTTTGTTTCCTTTGTTTTTGTTTTTGTTTTTTGCTACCTACAACTTTCTTGGAAAGAAGTTTTCTCTTAAATTGATTATCTTTATTGCCAGTCATAACTCCAGTTTGGTCAAGTTTTCTTCTAGGATTTAACTTTTACTCTGATGAACTGAAAAATTACTCTTGTTGTTTTCTGTAACAGTAGGGTATTAATGATTGTAGACGCACTTCTTCCATTCACTTTTTCATGGCGGAGGCATAGTTCAAAATTTGGCACACTGTTTTGTTAAGTGTAGGTCTTGTTACTTTGATCATGTTATGCTTTTCATCCCATCTTTCTACTGGCTCCCTAGTTGCCAATGCATCAAAGTCTTAAAACTCTGCATTGGCATTCTTATTTTAGTTGCAGTGTTTTTCACTTGTTCAATTAAATGGTTTTAAAAAACAAGCTTAATTTGTAAAATAATACCACTTTTTTCATGTAGACAAGTTTTATACGCTAATCATTCTCATTTTTAACTTGTTTTATTAGAGATGACATAATAAACAATGTTACATGTAACTTATCACTGTTGGATTTCTAAGCTGCAGGTCCTGGTAGTAAAAATGCTGGTGACCACTGTGCATGAGTGGACCTTTTGTGCTACCATTGAGGGATCTCTACTATGTGGTAGAAAAGTCTAAAACTGAAGTCGGTACTCAGTTCCTGATTCTGGAGAGACCTGGCGATGCAGATTCTTCATGGCCAAAAAGGTCCACAGCCATGCAGCTGTTTTCAGGAATAGAGGTCTAGATTCAATATGGAGAGTAATAGTTTAATATGAAAGGTGGGTTGATGCAAGGATCCGGACAGTTCAGTGCGTTTTGTTCAAATACTGCTTCAGTAACTGTTGGGCTATCAAGGAAAGATGTATGAGGTACATAATGCCAAAAAGCATCATTCTCTATTTACAGTTAAAGTTACTAATAGTAAGCCCACCTAAATTATCTTTGAAAGTTGGAAAGGCTTTGTATTAGGACATCTTTTTATGTCAAAGCAAAAATTACAGCTATGGAATTTTGGTGAGACAATACTGCAAGCATTTTACTATTGTATTTTTTTTTTGTTCTCTTTCAGATTTGAACAAATATATGTTCAAGAGAGCTTCCATAATCCAAACAGATGAAGATCAATTGATATATCAACCCAGTGTTTTACCATACTTTTTAAGGTACTGTGACACACTTACCTATGTTTTTTCTTAAGCATAATTATTCACATACTTCAGGTGTGACAAACATGAAGAACAGGATATTAACAGAGTTGCAAAGCAAATCTGAAGTACTACCAGATGCAGTGTGGAGATGTTTTGATAAGCTGCAGGTGTTTAGTGCATGCTATATTAAGAAGAGACTTTACAATCAGCCAGAATGAGTGCTGTGCATATATCAGGCAGACTCAAAATGTACAGTCAGACTTAGTTTATCTAGAAGAGGCAGGGGCATACAAGTAGCTTGGTGAATAGGGTTTTGTATTAGGTCTTATTTGAGTATCTGGCTATATCTTACCATGCCTAGGGAAGGCATCTCCAAATATGCTGAGCTACTCTTGAAGCTAAATCAATATAGCCATCCTGGCACTGCAGACATACTAGGTAGTATAGGGCAGATAATTAGGACTGTCACTCAGCAGTCTTAATTACCTTGCTTGTAGCACCATGCAGAGATAGCTACACTGCTGCTGGTTCTGGAGGCATTACACATAGGGTATTGTGATGTGTTTGTGGGTAGTAAGTGGCACAGTAAGTGAGTTTGCCTCTGTTACACTTTGGGAGACTTGCATTTTCATCAGATATTCAAATTCTCTCATGCCTGTTTTCATGTGCTGTGATGACACCTTAAAAAAATCTGACAACTGTTTCAGTCTCCCATCTTGACCAGTATCGTCTCACTGTGCTCCCTTGTCTCCCTGCATCAGTATTTTTCCTCTTGTCTGATGCTTAGCTTGCAGGCACTTTTGGCTAGGGTGTCTCTTCTGGTCCTTTCTTTGTACAGCACCCAGCCAAAAGTTGTCCCAGTTTCTCACTAGGGTTTTGAGCTGGTGTGCTAACAGTGGGCTGCCTAACCATCAGCCTATGGGCTGTATGTGACGTGCAAGGGGTTAATTTCCAGCCTCTGGGTTCCCCCTAGCAAGTTGCGGCCCTCATTTCTCTACCTCTGCTGCTGGGATCTCCAGAATCCCCCTCTCTTCTCTGGCTTTCATTTCCTGTCTCTCCTATCTCAGGGGGTGGGGTGGGGTGGGGTGGGGCAGGGCAGCCTGCAATGCTTGGGGAGCCTGCGGCACAGGAGGTGAAGGGGGTGGGGGAGACTGCCTGTGTGCAGTGCAGCAGTGAGGGGGGCTGCTTGCCTGCCCACCTGTGCTGTGCAGTGGTGGGGGTGGCCAACCGTCTTGCACGGTGTGGCAGTGTCAGGGAACCACCCACCCATGTAGTGCCAGGGGAATTTGTAGCCAAAGAGGTGAAGAGGGGACCCTGGCCAGCACTGGTGCAGCCCCTGGCCGCTAAATTAGACAGCCCTGTGCTAACACATAGCAAATGATAGTATTGGGTGAAAATCAGATATTGCAGTACTTCCTGATGATGTAGTGCTAAATTCCTACATTGACATTTATCATGTTACCTTCATCTGTTCTCCCTTGCAGTTCTCTCTCCTGTATGTTTGCAGTAGTCTGTTACTTGTTTGTGTATTTTCATTTGATATGGTAAAAAAACTCCACAAATGCAGTCTAAGCTCATATTTGCCTCTTCTGCACAAACCTGAGGGGTCTAGTCTGTTCTAGTCAGGTTTATTTTTGCTGTGAAAAGCAGCTTTTTATGCCTTTAATATAGATTATTGTAGAAAGTACCATTAAAGTTAGCATGCTGCTGGGCTGTAAAGCTGAAAGAAGCAGAACTTATCTAAGTGGCATAGATCATTGGGGCTAAGAAAGAAAGAGGAATGGTTGTCACTGTATTGTTTTTGTTTTACTTGAGTCTTCTCTTGAGCCGCTCAGTTAAGATAGTATTTCTTTTCCTTTGAAGACCTATATTGAAACTTTTAATTTGGAAACTGTAATTATATCAAGTCAGTGCTATTTCAGGGGAAGAAGCATTGTATAAGCATTATCTGTGATTCCACACTGCAAGATCCTATGTTAACTGGCGTGTGGATTCGGAAGAACAGACTTGTGGCTCACCAGTTGAGACATTCACTTCACAGTAAAGCCATAGAGACCTGGTATGCTGCTTGGGACAGCTTAGATGTAACAGTTATGGTGTTTACCAAAGTGAATCTGATCTTTTGTGTTGCATGGCAGAGACCATGTAACCCCTGAATAGGTTTTAGGTTAATACAGATAAGTCTGTCTTTATAGGTAAATCATTTGTTTTTGATGAATTGGCCATCAAAAATTTAAATCAGAGAAGGATATTGGAATACCCTGGCAGGTGAGAAGGACATTTTAGCCAATAGCCATATCCTGCTTTGCATGAGATTACCAATTTTGTATCAACAGAGCAACAGAAGAAAAATGAACCTCTCCTGCTAACTTCAGAAAATGAACTTCTTATTTTCTTGCCGGCTATAGGATTTAAAAAATTCAAATGACTGAAGAATCCAACAAATATAGTGTGTATATAGTGGGCCCACACATTTATGCTGTTATTTACATTAGGGCAGATTGGTTTTGAAGGCTGTTCAGAATGGCAGTGTTGTACATTCGCTTTACATTGGCATAGGTCAATGGTTCTCAACCTTTTTAGACTGAGGCAGCACTTGATAGATTCAAAGCACCCTGATTAGACTCAAAGCACCCCTCAGAAAATGCCAGCTCTTAGTTTTCACTCATGTGTTGACTATAGAAATTGTTCTGTTGCAAAGAACCGAGAGAGACCACAACGGATCAGAATGTTTTTAACACTGTGGTTTCCTATGAGCAAAACTCTGGGTTTATCTTGTGCCACAGCACCCTGGCTGGAAATCATTGGGTTAGGTGCTCTGAGAGTGTGCAGGCCTTTGATCTTACATGTTTCCCCTTTGTTTATAAAAATATAACTACTAAATTCATCATTTAGTATAACCCTACTTTCAATATTTCCACTCCATTTTAGCAAAACTGAGAGAGGAATAGTTTTTCTGTACTGGGATAGTTAAAAAAAAAATCTAGGAATGCTTTCCTTTTCTAAAGAGGGGTTGTGGGGGGAAGAATGTTTTCCCCCCAGAACTGAAGTCCTGGGGGATTGCAATTTGGAAACAGCAAAATGCGGTGTTTCAGTGATGAAACTGACAAGAATTGTGTCAATTTCAGTCTGCATCTGCTAGAGCCTCCAGGATCTTAGCTCCATGGCAGCCTGTATGACAAGCTGTTGAAGATGTGGGAACTATGGAAGCCTTGGGTCCTTCATGGTGTACCAGGTGGGCTAACAGGGAACTTGGAAGCCCTTGGGATTGCTCTCGGGCATAGTGGGTTGTTGAAGAGACAGGCAAGTGAGCTTGCAGGAAACCAGGCAGGGTTATATCAGAAATAAACTGAAGCCAAAGTGTTCCTGTACAGTATTGGGAGTTCAGTTAATTGGGAAATTAAAAAGAACAGTTTTGTTGGTGTTACGCTGACCATAATTATTTTAAATGTAGAAACCCTTCAAATGCCAAGAAGGCATTTGAAGGGTCTCTAATTATAAAATATTTTGGGGGTTTTTAACATGTTTTTCCATATGGAAAGTAGAGGTTAAAGCATCATTTTCCACTCTGATTCCTTTGACAAAAACAATTCATGTCTATAATTAGCTAGGCGACTGCTGATACTAAAATACTGACCAATTCAGAAGGTGATTGTAATACTTCATATAAAATTTAAAAATAAAAATAAAAAAATAGATCCCAAAATTATCAAAATATATTTGTGCATGATTTAAGGGTGAACAGGCAAGATTTTTACAAGATACACAGGATGTCAGAATTCTGTTTCCTTGATAAGAGTTGATTATATGAGTGAAACTAGGGAGTACAAGGAGATGTGCTCCTTGCATTCCTTAAGTTTCTTATTCCACTTTATGTGTCAGTGATGCCATCAACTCTTACAAAATAGATGCTTTCTAAATTCAAGATATATTTTGTAATTAAGTAATGGAGGAACTGATTTCACTGCTTGCTTAAATGTTTTTTTCCCTAAAAATATAGTGATTACATTCTTTGATACTAATTTGGAATATATATTTAAAAAAGAAAACCCCTTTATCGCTTATCATAGAAAGTGTATTGCTTGAACAAATGAAGTCATCCACTCAACATCTTTGTCAATGCAGGTTTCTTCCGTGGTATATTTGTAGTTACTGATGGGCCATTTAAACAACAAATAAATAAATAAAGGCAGCAGCCTAATCTTACCTAGACTTTTCTTTCTGCCAATCCTGGTGATCTATAGCAGCTCCTCATAAAAGCTTCATATTTAGGAATTTAAATGAGTGGACTGATTTTCAAAAATGCTGAAAATGTATAAAGCTGCAAATGTTCAGAGCTGTCCACAAGAGTAGGTTGCAATTTTGTAATTCTGTCAGAGATACAATAGAGTTGTTTCATATGACTTGTTATTTTAAAGTAAGTCTGCTCTTTTCCTCTTGGGGCCAAACCCACCTACATGGAAGGAAGTGGGAGGTTTGCCATTGGTCCTGGTGTGAGGAGAAGCAACCTGCATATAACTTTTTCTCCTCTTATGTTCCATTACTTTTGCAGCAGAAGGGCTGAAGTCAACGCTACAGCTGGAATATCTTGGACTACTCTTTACTTTTTTCATTTGCTTTCCTGAATTTTAGAAATGCCACTGAATCTTCATGACTTCTCATCAGCAATGTTCAATGTTTCATTAAATTTAAATAGTTCCCTTAACATCTAGACTGGCTGACTTATAACTGCTCCTTATATCCCAGATATATTCCAGTATCCCAAATTAGTACTCCTTTACTTTTCCTTGTTGGAGAAGAATATTGGAAATGTTCAGTGTGAGCTCCCAACCTCACTAAACATCTGTGGGAGTTCTGATACTAACTTCAGTGAAGTCAGGATTTCACTTCGGTGTCAGCCATTAGTCCACATTTTATCTTGAGTCACGTTTGGTAACAGACCTTCCTTCATCTGAATATTTTTGTCTATGGTATACTTTAAAAAGGTATTAATATCTTAGTTTTATTTTGTTGTGATGGTAGTCCTTGTCTCTTTCCCTGCGAGCCTAGACTGATTTTCAGCAACTGTTTTCTTTTTCTTTCTTCCAGTATCGGTGGTATCAAATAGCTTCTTGCTCTCTACTAGTTTAAATCCAGGAGAGGCCAGCAGGGGACTGCATGCTTAGGGGCAACCAACATGGGTTCATCAGTGGCAGGTCCTGTCAGACCAACCTGGTGGCCTTTTACGATCAGATCACCAGATCATTAGATGCAGGGGTAGCAGTGGACAT